CTGGCGAGGCCGGGCCGCCCCGGTGACGTGTTCCGGGCGGAGGGACAGCAAGAGCCCGTCGGTGCCGAGAGAGGCCGCGGCTCCGTCTCTGAGGCAGGCCGTGCACGGCCCCCGGCGTCAGCTGGGCTTTTGGCGGGGTGTAAGCTGCCACAGGCCACGTGTGCGAGCCCGTGTCTTACTCCGCGTAAGGAGGTGCCACGTACGCCTCGGTTCTTCACGCTCAGGGCCGCTCTCCACGCGGTTCCGGGAGAGGCTGGGTGAGGCCAGGCGCCGTGAGCCACGGGGGCCCTGCCGGCCCCTCCCGATGCGTGTGCCGCATGCCCAGCTGGCGTCGGGGGGGCGGGGGCGTGTGTTTAAGTGGAAAGTCCTCAGTGACAGCGAAGCATTCCGGAGGCGCCTGCTGGTCTGAGTCCCCTCGCGGCGGCTTCCTGGCTGTGAGAGCGCGGGCAGGGTACATCACCCCTCTGGGCCTGTGGTTCCTCCTGTGGAAAACCCGGTGACGCTTCTCACCCCTGGCCGTGCTCCCTCCGCTGCGGGAAGGCGTTCCGGCGTCTGAACCTTCACCTAGAGCCCCCCTACCCTTCCTGGCTCCTCCCCGTCCTGCAGGCTTCGTGGCCGAGACCCCACCTCCCCGGGGTGAGCAGGCTCCCTGTGGGACTGGCCTTGCCTCGGCCCCGGTGCCACCTGTGAGGCCCTTAGGTGACATCCGGTGAAGCAACTGGTGTGAGACACAGCTGGATTAGGCCTGGCTCTGGCGTTTAGCAGCTGTGTACCTGGAACAAGGGGAGCCTCAGCTTACACGTCTGTAAGACGGGGGCGAGGACGGTGGCCATCGCACAGAGTTGCCACCGAAGCAAAGGAAACAGTCGCACGGGGCCCAGTGCTGCCTGGCTGTGCATCTTGGCTCAGGTTGTCAGTCGGGCCCTCCGATAAAGACTCTCTACCAAAGCTTTGACTTAGCGCTGAAGTCTCAGGGGATGAAAGTGTTCCGTGTTCCCAGGGTGCCGTGGATGCAGAGTGGGAGCCCCTCGTTCGGCTCGGGGGTACGTGGAGCTTTCTGGAAGAGGCACGAGGGTTCTTGCTTTATGTTGTACCCGAGGCCCAGGAACGACCTGGACAGGATGGCAGGGACACGACTGTTTCGGGCTCTGCTGATGACCTGCTCCTTCTCTCTTCGCTCTAGTTCCGAGCGTGACCCCCAAGGCGACGTGTTCCTTCAAGGTCCCGGAGATCCACTTCCCGCTGGTGAGCCAGTGCGTTCAGGCCTACTACTCCGACTGCGTGGGCCTGCTGAGCAAGGCCATGAGCCTGCTGGCCCCCGACAACTCCGTGCTGCTGGCCAGGTACTTCTATCTCCGGGGGGCCGTCCACCTGATGCAGGGGCAGCTGCTGGACGCCCTCTTGGATTTCCAGAGTCTGTACAAGACAGACATAAGGATCTTCCCGGCTGATCTCGTCCGGAGGACAGTGGAGTCCATGTCGGGGCCCGAGCGCGCCCAGGCCGAGCGGGTGCCCGAGCTGCGACGCCTCATCAGCGAGGTCGTGGACAAGCCCGGGGAGGCCCCCAAGCCGGACGACCACGTGAAAAACTTCGAGCTGCCGAAGAAGCACATGCAGCTGGACGACTTCGTGAAGAGGGTCCAGGAGTCGGGCATCGTGAAGGACACCAACATCATAAACCGATTGTTCGAGGCGTTGACTGTAGGTAAGAGGACGGCCGCGGCCTGGATTTAAACACGCCAGGACGGTCCGCTCACAGTGCTGTGACCCCGTGGGGTGAGGCCTCTTCCCCATCTGGGCACCTACAGGACCAGGAGGGGCTGGCCTGTCCCTGATCTTTGGGGGTAGGGCAGTGTTACTGGAGAGCCGGCCGCCCCCGCAGGGTCCCCCCGTCCCGGGGAACCGCTCACCGTGTGCGATTCTGCCGTCAGTGGGAACCCTGCACGCACGCCCGGTGGCGCAGACGGCGTGGCATCGTCCCCCCTTCTGGGAGCGCTGCCTTGTCCACGCTGACCGCAGCTGTCCGTTCTGTCTTTCCCTCCTTAGAGGGACCTGTCCCCAGCCGGAGCCTCCCTGTCTGACCATGTTCTTACGTATTTACTGGGAACACGCGTATTTGAAAGCGGGACCTGGGGTTTGTGTGGTTTTCAAGGACGGGTGACTTGTGTCCTGCTGTGTCAGTCTGCAGCGTGTTTCCAGAACTTTCCAGAACTTTCCTGTGTTGGCGTGCGCGTGTTACTTGAGCGCCCGGCGGCCGTGTCGCAGGAATAGAGCGCGGGGCCCTTGTCTGTCTGTCTGGCCGTCGGGTGGCATCCTGTCGTTTTACTTTTCCAAATACGGACATGGTGAGCGTCACCGTGCCTGGTTCCTGATGTGGCTGTGGACGGGTCTCCCCAGGGTGTGTGGAGAAGCCCGGGCCGCACCCCCCGAGACCCCCACCGCCCACCTCCCGGGCAGCACCGGGGTCAGACTCAGATGTTCTGCCGGCTGGAGGAGCGTTCGCTAGGGAGCCATCCCGGTGCCTTCTTTCTCCATCTCTGTTTCCGTACCAGGCGCTCCTTGTTCCCTCACGGTGTGGGAGCACCTCGGGCCCCCGCCCCCACGCAGGCCCGGCAGCTTCTCCTCCTGGTCTCGTGGGGGGGCCTCCGCGGGCAGGCACGTTGGAGCCATCTCGCTGGGCACGCGGGAGACACCTGCGGGGTGACCACCCGGGGGGTGGGGGGCGGTGAGCCGTGACGAGGGGAGACAGGTCCTCGCGGAGAGCCCTGAGCAGCAGTGCTCGGGGGCCCCCGTGACTCAGCGCCTCTCCAGGGACACCCTGCCCCTTCCCTTTGCGGGGCCGTCACGAGGATGCCAGGGCCAGCCTGGTCAGCTGCCAGGCCTGAACACAGGGGCGCGCGGCCACTGGGGGCTCTTTCTCTCGGGGAGCGAGGTGTCCAGAGCGCCCGGCGGCTCCTCGACGTCACCGTGCAGCACCTGCACGTGGCCTTGTTGCTTCACGGCACGTGACAGCGATGGCCTGGGCAGCACTGTTCTCCCGGCGGGAGGAAGAGGGTCCATCTCCCCAGCTGTCACCGCCTCTGGCCAGCAGCGTGTCCCTGCACGTAGCCGCATGGGAAACATGGTTTGGTGGCTGGACGCGTGGAGAGCGTCTGGTGTTCCCAGACTTATGCTGCAGGGATACGGAGGACGGCTGGGGGGGGCGTCAGCAGATGTGGGCCACGCCGATGGGGGTTGTCGGTGGCCCTGTTGTCACCTTGGTTCCATTCACGTGGCAAAACAGCCCATTTAACCGTCCTGGTTCTGGGATGTGTGAGGGACTGTGGGGCAGCACTAAGCGTGTGTTTTTGCTTAACGACCCATGCGTTAGAAAAGCTTATTGGGGTGCCTGGGTGGCTCAGTCGGTTAAGCGTCCGACTT